AAAAAAAAAAAAAAAGCCGGGCATGGTGGCTCACACCTGTAATCCCAATACTTAGGGAGGCTGAGGCAGGTGGATCGCTTGAGGTCAGGATTTTGAGACCAGCCTGGCCAACACGATGAAACCCCGTCTCTACTAAAAATACAAAATTAGCTGGTCGTGGTGGCAGGTGCCTGTAGTCCCAGCTACTCAGGAGGCGAAGGCAGGAGAATTGCTTGAACCCAGGAAGCAGAGGGTGCCGTGAGCCGAGATGACACTATTGTACTCCAGCCTGGGCGACAAGAGTGAAACTCCGTCTCAAAAAAAAGAAAAAAAAGAAAAAAGCCGGGTGCGGTGGATCACGCCTGTAATCCCAACACTTTGGGAGGCTGAGGCAGGTGGATGACTTGAGGTCAGGCGTTCGAGAGCAGCCTGACCAACACGATGAAACCCCGTCTCTACTAAAAATACAAAATTAGCTGGGCGTGGTGGAGGGTGCCTGTAATATCAGCTACTTGGGAGGCTGAGGCAGAATGGCTTGAACCCAGGAGGCGGAGGTTGCGGTGAGCTGAGATCACACCATTGTACTCCAGCCTGGGCAACAAGAGTGAAACTCCATCTAAAAAATAAAAAATAAAAAAAATTCCCAGTAGCTTCTATGATGGGGTGATAGATACATTTTAGCAAGCAGTGGAATTCATGAATACAACATCAGAGAGTAATGCACCCCACCGTGTTTTCCTGTGCTGTCTGCCCGCCCTCCTGCCTGAGCTCCCTTGAGGCCAAGGAAGATACTCACGGAAGTCCTCCTTCAGGTAGCCCCAGCCCGAGATCAGGCACTTCTTGCTGGGTGGGAAGACATGCGTGGCGGCTGGGAGGCACACGGGCTGGATGTGCCGGCCGAAAGCCAGAGGGCTGGTCAGCTCCAGCACGGCCACGTCGAAGTCAGCTGTGTCCGCGTTGTACAGGGGATGCTTGATGATCTGGGCCACCCGGGCCCGCACGGTGCTGGCCTCTGAGCCACTGAGGTGGGTCGTACCCACGTAGACCACCCACTCTGTCGGGTCCTGGAATCTGCAGGAGGGAACGCCTCAGCTCAGAGGCCACCAGGGGTCAGAGCCGTCGGCGGAGGCAGACGGGACACTCACCTTAGATACAAAACTTAAGGGGTGTCCCACCTAAATTAATATTTATTAATAGTATTTACAGGCCGGACGCGGTGGCTCATGCCTGTAATCCCAGCACTTTGAGAGGCCGAGGCGGGTGGATCACCAGGTCAAGAGATCGAGACCATCCTGGTCAACATGGTGAAACCCCGTCTCTATTTATTAAAAAAAATAAAAATACAACAAAAGCCAAAATAGACAAATGGGATAAAAGAAAAAGAAAAAAAAAATAAAATAAAAAAAATAAAAATAAAAAGTATTTATAAATACCAGGCCGGGCACGGTGAGTCCTGCCTTAAATCCCACACTTTTTTTTTTTTTTTTTTTAAAAGATGGTGTTTCACCCTGATGGCCAGGCTGGTCTTGAACTCCTGACCTCAGGTGATCCACCCACCTCGGCCTCCCAAAGTGCTAGGATTACAGGCGTGAGCCACCGCGCCCGGCCCA